CCTCAAGGCCCTTCCCCATCTTCACTGCCCTCCTTTGGGTGCTCTCTAATAGCTTAATAATCTTTCCTAAAATGCCTGTTTATAACTGCTGTTCCCATCTTTCAGTATATCCACGAGCACACCGGAATCCTTCCAGGCCTCCACGAAGGGCCTGGCCCTGAAAACACCTATTCCTCAGTGCCAGCAGCTCACCAGCTCCATCATTCCAATCCCCGAGTTACACCTAAGAAACAGTTTTTACTGCCTCTCCTGCCAGCTCAGGGGTGTTAAAAATGACAAATTAGAACTATAACATGTAACACAGACAGGGCTTGATGGCAACAAATCTCCATATGCTAAAACTCCCAGTAGCTAAAGAAACCCCACTGCTTCCCCTGAAAACCTTGGATGCGAAGGAAGTCGCTTCCCCGGTGTAGATGAAACCTCACTTTCCCAGAAGGACATTTCCCAACGAGCCAGGTGATTTCCAGCGTTAGCAATTCCCATTTCTCTTTCAAGAGCATGGGATAAAAATTAACCCACACAGAGCAACTTCTACACCGACTGTCAGAGCAAGCCAGGGCTTAACTCAACCAGAACAAACAAGTTAAGAGAAATAACCCAAGACACTTCATTCCTGTATGCTGCAACCACCTTCCACCCACCTTCTGGTCATTCACCCTCTTTCTTTACCACTGAAGGTGTTAGTGTTTTTAAATGCCTTTTTAAGTTGCATTCAAATAACTCTCACAGCACAGGCTGTGCTGCCAGAGCAACAGTTACTTTATTTTCTTTTTACTGCTGAAGTTATTTAGCATCTCCATAAGATACTTCAATGTCAATTTAATAATAAAAAAGTTGCCCTGATCTCTTGCCTGATATGCCAATTCTCTAATTTCACATCAATTTGCATAAGCTTGTTGTAGCTGCTCATTAACACACCCCAATGACCAAATTAACACACCACTTTACAGGAAAAGCGAGGACTATCTGAAGTTTTAATATGTCGAGCAAGGAAAATTTCCCGGGCAGTTTTGTTTCCAGCCTCATCCAGCTGCACCACAGTTGCTCCCCAGCGTCAGGCCCAGGTGCTTCCCCACAGCAGGGACCAGAGATAAGACATTAGAGCTGAAAAACACTAAGTACTAAAAACCTCAATTTTTGTGAGAAGTTGGAGATGAGTTAGAGAAACAAACCCATGCTCCTCCCATGGGGGGGGAAGGCTCACAGAACATGCCCAAAATTATTTGCTCTGTGTGGCTTCCAGTGATTGTGTATGTTGGCCAACCGGCTGGCTCCTCACCAGGTCCACAACTCAGGCCTTCCACAGTCAGAGAATCCCACCATGGTTTGGGTGGGAAGGGATCTCCAAGCTCATCCAATCCCCCCCATCATTTCCATGGGCAGGGACACCTCCCACCAGCCCAGGTTGCTCCAACCTGGCCTTGGACATCCCAGGGATCCAGGGGCAGCCACAGCTTCTCTGGGCAACCTGTGCCAGGGCCTGCCCACCCTCCCAGCCAACAATTCCTTCCCAATATCCCATCTAACCCTGCCCTCAGGCAGTTTGAAGCCATTCCCCCTTGTCCCATCACTCCATCCCATGTAAATATTCTCTCTCCATGTTTCCTGTAGCCCCTTCAGGTCCTGCAAGGTCACAATCAGGTCACCCCAAAGCTTCTCTTCCCCAGGCTGAACAATCCCAACTCTCCCAGCCTTTCCTCCCAGCAGAGCTGCTCCATCCCTCTGCCCATCCTGGTGCCTCCTCTAGACTCTCTCCAGCAGCTCCACGTCCTCCCTGTGCTGTTCCCCAGGGCTGGAGCAGCTCTGCAGGGGGGTCTCACCTGAGCAGCCTCACCCCCCTCACCTGCTGCCCACACTCTGGATCTAAGAAAGGATCTGCATGCCTAAAAGTTCAGGCCACAGTCAGTGAAAAAATGGCTTTTGGGCACCACCTGGGTCCACAAATAAAAACTGAACACGACTATTCTGGGAGAAAAGAAAAAAAAAAAAAAGGAACTTGCAGGGAACTTTCCACTTGTAGCTAAGACACCCCTGGGAGAGGAGGGAGGAAGACTGACAGAATAAAGACTTCCTCCACTCCAACCTCCCTGCAAGGCCTTCTCTAGACACACACACTGGGAATGACTGTCCCTAACGGGCTCCCCCAGTTCTGCAGGAACACGTGGGTCTCCCTTCCAGAGGAAACTCCGGACTGGGGCTCTTCACCCCAGCTGGGAAACACCCAAATGCAAAAAAAGACCAAAATACCCTCCACTTGGGGCTGAATGATTCTTCATGAATGGATTTGCACGGGCTGCAGTCACTCAGGAGTTTGCCCAGGCTGGAGAGAGTTTTAGGTGATGACCTAAATTTGTAGGTCATCAGGTTCAGTTGAATTAACAGAAGTAGAAAACAGAAGCAAAACTTCGACGGTGCCTTTTCCTCTGGGCTTGCAAACTCCCTGGAAAACACAAAATCCTCCTGCTAAGCTACTCCAAAACCTCCTCGGCTCCACTTTTCGTTGGGTGGACAGCATTTAAAATACTTTGGAAGCCTGGAAAGCCTCCCCTAAGAATAAGGCTTTGTTCTAGTAGCTTAAAGATGACCTCCAAAAGTTATTGGCTCTATTTTTTTTATTTTATTTTATTTAGGTCCTTATAAACCCTCTGCATGCTGGACAGCACTGGCTTCTCTAACACTGAATTAAATCCCTTACTTTCATGAGCAACCCCTGGAAAAAACATTAAGGAACATTTGTAAGAGAGTTCTCTCTGTTTTTAAGTCTGGGTTGTTATTAAAGCAGTATTACACTTATCAGGAATTCCCTAACAGGGAATTGGATTGGAGAGGGAGGTTAAGACATCTCTGAGGAAGGAGGAACAAAGAAAAGCTGGAAAGGTTATGGAATGGAAGGAGAAGGTCATTCACACGGTCTGAGGGCCTTTCAGAGCTTTCTGATAATTCTGACAGTAATTCCAAGAATTCTCCCAGATTTTCTCTCTGCCTCTGGCACCCAAACCACGTGGGCAGGTTCTACCCAAACTGCTGCCACCCATCAGTCTCAGCAGGTCACTGTAAGCACCCACAGGTCCCTTTCCTCAGGGTTTCCCTGCCGAGGGTTGACAATTCCCACTGACACGTGCAGGACCAAGAGGCTTCTCTCTCCTCCAGAATGTCTTCAGATAACACTGAATGAATGTTCATTTTCCCCTTTAAAACTGGAGCAGTTAGCAGTAATTAACAGAGCAGAGATGAAAGGCCCCAGAAAGCAGGTAAAACCAGGGTAACCGTAACTCAACCATCTTCCCTCGCTTCCCAAGGAGTGCACGGGAGGCCACCGGGGCAGGAAAGGCACCAGGACTGCTCAGGGAGGCTTCACCCACAACTCCACACATCAGCTACACCAATAATCAGAACTTCTTTAAGGCAAAGCAGAGAGGGAAGAGCAGGAATAATAAGGTCGAGGGAACGATGGGATGCTGGAGGAGGCACGAGGAACACGCCCAGTCACACTACACCGCGGGTCATGACAGCCCTGAAAACAATCCTTCGCTGTGCTGACTTATTCAACACCGCCTGCTTCTAAAACCCAATTTTACAAGCAGGCCTCGAAAGGAGAACTGGCTTTCCAAGCACAGCATTTTGTGCAACAGCTCAGAAAACAAGCCTGAAATGGACTCAGGAAGTTTGGGCCTGCTGAAAGTTTTGTGCCCAGAGTTTTTCTCGGGGAGAAATCAGGCACGCACTTGTGCTTGCAGGGAGGGTCATGGGGAAGATCGGGGAGCTCTGAGTAGTCTAAAGAGTCATTCCAGTTTCCCCCAGGTAACAACAGGGCCATCCTCAAAGCCCTTCACCCCCAAAGCTCTGCGTCCTACCCAACACCCATTTCCTGACGTGCACAAAGGTGCTGTTCAAAGCAATAAAAGCAAAGTTACCCCTGAAGGAAGTGAGTGCTACACCAATTCCCACTTCCCCTCTCCTCCCCCACTGCAAATCAAGAGCGCCAGCCAGCTCTTCAATTCGTGTGGTTACGAAGATGTTTCAATAGAAAAAAAACAAAAAACCAAACACAAATAAAAAAAAATAAAAAA